GGAGGAGGAGGAGGAGGAGGAGGAGGAGGAGGAGGAGGAAGGGATGGATCCAGGAAAGAGCAGGCTATAGATCCGATGTCTTTCCTGGAAGAGGAGGGAGCGTGGTTGGACCAGGAAGGAGGGCGGTGCAGAGAGGAAGTGCAGAGGAAGCCCAGGGTCCCAGGGCTCAGGTCTCCGTGACCAAGATGGGACCCCTCCAGGGCTCTGGGTCCAGACGTCGCCTCCTGTGCCCCAGCACCAGGAGAGACGCCCCCTCTCTCAACTGGCAGCTCCGTGGCTCCTCCCTCCCATCCTCAGAGACATTCAGGCTCAGGCTGAACCTTGATGGCCCCAAGCCACTACGGCCCCTTGAGCTTGAGTCAGAGTTGAGTAGGACTGAAAATCCTGATCCTCGGTGAGAGGGGCCAGGTTTCAAGTGCTCAGTGGCCAGGGGCTAGTGGCCTTAATATTGGGCGGTAAGATGTGACAATCCGCCATCGCAGACAGTTCTGGACCCTCCCTGATCCTGCGGAAGCAGAAGTCCCTTGGCTTGGGTTTGATGAGCCCGAGCGGCTGCAGGTGTGGCTCTGCCRGCCGAACAAGCCCAGGGGCTGTCCAGAGCCACGGTTTAAGGCAGCGTCCAGCTGAGACAGGTCGGGTCCAGCACTGCAAAGCCAAGAGGTGACCTCCCTTGGAACCCGTCTGCAGCCTGTGTCCTCCTGGTAGATGCTCCTCTCCCTCTGGCTGCGTAGCAAGCCCCTCCACAGGTAGATCCCAGGTGACCCACTGGCGGCAGTAGGCCCGCTCCCTCCCTGGGACCCGGTTACCGCCAGCAGCGGGTGGGCTGGGAAGCTGGCGGAATCTACTCCGGATTTTGCTCTTGGGAGATCRGAAGCAGCATGGCTCAACCTAGATGCTCCCCGTGGTCCTGGAGGAAAAATATTTTCCCCCTGCTCATCACACACGACTCTAAAATAAGTTCGTGTTGGCACAAACACTTCAAGTGCATTATCGAAACAGAAGTGTGCATGGATTTAAAAAAAGAAGAAAAAAGAATAACAATGAAGAAACCTGAAATTCCCCCCGCAGGGTCACACAAAATGAGCTAGGTGACCCATTGCAGAGTTGCCCAAGTAATTGACCCTGTCCTTTTTATAAATAGGCCTAATAGAAATGTGGGGTTCCTTGTTCTGTCGCCTCTGGCTTAGAATGAGTGTCCTGACTAGTTTTTCCTGTCTGTATTTTTTAAAGGAAAGCATCTGGGCTAACCATCACTCAGACCTGGTTGCAAACCACAGTTCTCTGGCTCTGTGCTTACTGTGTGACCTTGGGAAACTTATGTCACCTCTCTGGGCTCAGTTTTCTCATCTGTAAAATAGGACTTTTAATGTCCACCAAGAGTTAATGAAATACCTTCTGTTCCAGTACCTGGTGTGTTCCAGAGGCTCAGAATACATCTCCCTCCTCCCTTCTCTGCTGAGACCCCATTATGGCCATGTGATGTCATCAGAGCAGGAGTTTTAGATGTGAATTGGAGCTGAGTGGCACCGGGAGCCGCTCTCCCCACAGACGATTCCTCTGTTTGTCACCGTGTAGGCAAGCCATTGACTTGGGAAACGTCTGTAATCAAGAGCCACTCTGGGTTGTTTTGGTGGCTTTTAGAGAGGGGAAGACAAAATGTTCCCTCTGACAAATGCAAACCTCTCCCACAGAAGAGCAGGAGTGGCTTTGACGGGGACCCGGGGACCACGAGGAGCCCAGCAAAGAGGGGTCTGGCTGACCCCGACTCAGCAGCGGGAGGGTCACCCAGGGCCGGGCACTCAGACGCACCGGCTCCCRGTTCTTCCCAATGTCGTGGGGCACRGAGAAGGCTGCCTTGTCCCACGTCAGAGAACAAAACTGGAAGATCCCAGAGATGGGCTGGGGGAGCCGGGGCGGCCTCGGGGCGGCGGAAGGGCTGAGGCCAGACGGGCAGCGGGAGGCCTGGATGTCCACGCCCAGTTCTCGCTCCATCTAACTGGGTGGCAGCCCACGGACGCGGCTGGGAGGGTCCATTAGAGATCAAGGGCAGGATGGAGGAAGCTGAGCCATGAAGGAGTCAGGCTCTGGCCCGGGAACCAGCCTGAGTTTGCATCACCGTCACTGGCTGCGGGACGTAAGGGAGCAGCTGCGCTTCTCTGAACCTCGGTTTCCTCCTATGTGCTGGTGRTGATGGTGGTGGTGGTGATGCTGAAGACGGTCATGGTGAAGAGGAGGAGAAAGATGATAATGATGGTGGGGAGGGAGGGGACCATGAAGATGTGTTGAAGTTGAGAGTGACCATTTTAAGGTGGTTTTGGTGTTGATGGTGGCAATGGTGATGGTGATGGTGGTGATGGTGGTGGTGATGGTGATGATGGTGATGGTGGTGATGATGGTGGTGATGGTGATGGTGATGGTGATGATGGTGATGATGGTGGTGGTGGTGAGGGAGGGGACCATGAAGATGTGTTGAAGTTGAGAGTGACCATTTTAAGGTGGTTTTGGTGCTGATGGTGGCAATGGTGGTGGTGATGGTGGTGGTGATGGTGATGGTGATGGTGATGGTGATGGTGATGATGGTGGTGATGGTGATGGTGATGGTGGTGATGGTGATGGTGATGGTGATG